AATGAGCATCTTTTTATTTCATTATTAATAATTATAAGCTGCCAAAATATTATACGAGGCGACTGATATATGAAAATATGTAACAACTTACTTTCGTCACTAGAGACGAAAGTAAACGTTATGGGATTTTTCTCACTAGTGACGGAAATCAAGTTTTTGCTGAAAGTATCCTGTGGCGAAAGATGTCTTTTTATAAGAGTTCGTAGAAAAAATTATTTTTAACTTTTTAGTTTGATATGCTCTAAAAGCGTGTTTTTTAGTTTTTTAAACTATATTTATTTTTCACTTTTTAGTTTTTTTTTCGTCCGTGGGGATTAGAACCCACGATCGGTAAGTCTGACAATCGAAAACTTGCGCGTTAGACCGCTCGGCCACGAACGATCTTGGTTTAGAAGGATATACTGACAGTAATAAGCCACTTGAGTCCAAAGGCGAGTTACATACATACATACATACATACATACATACATACATACATACATACATACATACATACATACATACATACATACATACATACATACATACATACATACATACATACATACATACATACATACATACATACATACATACATACATACAAGTGAAGCTAATATAAGCGTGTTAAAAAAGAATCATAGAAATGGAAAAAGGTGGTAAAGAATTATCGCTAAACATACATAAAAAATGAAGAGTTTGAGGATTTTCTCATGGACTCAATTATTAAATTTTGACCAAACTTTTATGGGACCACATGTTAAGTACTTTCTTTCTAAAGCCGGCTACGGATGATGAGCGATAATATAATATATATTATAGCTCACATATTATAAAAATATCGCTTTGCATTAATAAGTGCAAGTCGCCGCGCATTGTTACTATAATATATATCCCGGCGATGCCGGACGATATATTTAATGTTGGACGAAATATGTTTTCCGAGCGATTTTTAGGATATATCTTCCCCCCTCTTGTGTGTCGCGCTGCCCGCCAAGAGAGCAAACCGGCGTTGTTTACATGTTTGTTTTGAACGTAATTTGATAAATAGATTTGGTAGGTTTGTAAAATTAGTTGCTATTTCTACACAGATTTGTAATTTTTATATTTTCATATATTTTTTTTCTAAACTCTTTAGTTTTTTAGTAAAAGTCACTTTCCTATAACCAAGTATATTCTATCTAATTAACTGCCAGTCGCTCTGAGAAACTGGCTTTTCCGCGTATTTGTGTTTTGCTTTTCTATATAATTTTTTATTAAATTATGAAATTCATAAAATTTATTTCAGTCTATTCGAAAATAATTTGCAAATTTTTCGTCACTAAATTCGTTAAAAAGTCTAAATTCTCCTCGTTCTTTTCGGTATTTGATATGATTAGATAACCAGAATCTTGTGTTTCTTTTTGGCTACTAACCCTAATTGCTAATAATAATACATTGTCGCTTTCAGCATCTGATTCATCTTCTGATGAGCTATCAATGGTATCCAGGAATAACAAATTTTTCTCCATCGCCATTTTTGTAACTACACTATATAGTTCACTGGGTCAGCCTACTATATTGAAAAATAAAAAATATATATTCTCGTCCACTGCACCAATAATATAATATTATAGCTCATTGCTGAGCTATAATATATATATTATCGCTTATCGTCTGTAGCCGGCTTAACAAAAAAAGAATCATTGAAATCGGACACCGTGTCGAAGAATTATCGCTGAACAAACATAAACAAAAAATATTACGACAAATTGATAACTTCCTCCTTTTTTGAAGTCAGTTAAAAAATATGATGTATCTTAAATATGCCTTTGCTGTTATCAAAAATATCGAGTACGGCACATCTAATCAAAAAGTATTTAGAAAAATTATTCAAATTTTTTTCATATACATATATCTTCATTGCCGACGACAAGTATTAGAAATTAAAAATTTAAAAAAACCGACTTCAAAAACGTGCAGATGCCGTCACCACATCTTAACCAAATCTATATGGGACCACCCCTGAAGTACCCCCTTTCTAACAAATAAAGAATTATTGAAAAAAGAAATGGGCTCTGCCCTTAGATTATACAAACCTTAGATGGAACATAAGACACTGCGCATAATCCCACTTCGAAATTATTCACACCCACCAATCACAGTTGAGAACATCACATGTCAGAGCCACAGTTGCAAAAGAATCAGTTAGCTCACTTGGACCAGTTGAATGTTCCAAAATAACATCCACTCCAGGGATACAAATTCAGGATGCGCAGAAGACTGCTGTTTGAATATAGTAGGCGGTTGTCATATATTGTATTGGTTATGATTTGATTCTGTATGAGCCAGGGATACAAATCCGAGTTGCGCAGTGTATAAACTGGAACATTGAGATCAAAAGTGCTGACGCAGAGTGAGTGAACTGATTCTTTAGCTATAAACTGTGATATCACCCTAAAATGCACGAATTATCCGTAGCTAGCGGTAGTATCGCTTTTGCTTCCCCTACCATTACTTCGCACTGAGCGAATAGATACATATAAGAAAATATTTAAAAAAATAACTCAACTAATTTACCTAACCTGTGCCAAAGCGATCTTTTAATTTTACACACAGATTAGGTAAATTAGGGCCGATTCCACCGTTGTGTTAAACGGAAATTAAAATGACATTGTTAATGTAAAAATGTCATTTTAAACTTCGTTGAACACAACGGTGGAATCGGTCCTTAGTAGTTTTTTTAATTGTCTGTATAATTTTTTTGCGAGGGAACCCGCGATGGTTAGTTTAGGTAGTTAATTTTTTTTAAATCAATTTATATAAAAACAATAGCGCCATTTCGGTCTGATACTGTTTAAATCTATTTCAAAAGGCGCTACTTTGTTAAAGCGCTGTTTTGACTGACGCTCTTTTGATACGCGCTGTCTCGTTCAGGCGCTCTTTTAATATGTCCTATTTTGAGTAGGCGCAATTTCGATTAGCGTTATTTTGATTGGGCGCTATTTCGTTCAGCGATATTTTAATCGAGCGCTATTTCGTAACAGAGCCAAAGAAATCATGTAGAACAGGGTCAGAAGTTCGAAACGATTTTCTGGGCCGATGAGAGGGGGGGCCCGGGCTCAAATAGGGGCCCGGCAGCGGCATAAGGGGGGCCGGCAGCACGACGTCTTTTTTTTTTTTTTAGAAGAGCACAAGAAAGAGGATCTTTGTTTTTTTTTTGAAGATTTCACTAGAGACGAGGAGAAGTTTTTGCTTTAAATGTGCAATTGAAAGGGCTTAATGTTTTTTATGAAATTGTCGCGGGGCCCGACCTGGCTCTCGGCGCACCTGACGAATTTGCTAGGCGGAGAGGTGGTAATGTTAAACCCCTGTCGGAAGACTTTCGCGGTAGTGTTTATCTGCTTGTGTCGTAGGTATCATATATAATAATATGGTAACTTTTAATTGTTACCGGCGGAACCGGGCAATAATATGTATTTATGGACTAGAAATAACTATTTAAACAAGTAATAGGTATATAATAGCCCAAATACAAAATTACCATAAGCTATATTAATAATTTATTGAACTACCCAGACAGCACACCAAATCCTTTGGATATCTACTGGACATCCCAATATCCACTGAATGTCCAGTCCATGGTGGATAGCTATTTTATATCCATGAGATGTAATTTATAGACATGCAAATGTGCATAAATAATAGTAATTATATAGCAAATTATTAAAAAATTACACCATTGTGCTCGCCATTGTGGCTAATAGTACCGTTCAGATATTTAAAATTTAATTTTTTTTAAGGTGTATTCAATATCCCATGGACATCCACTAAATATATCAAAGTCTAGGCGCGAACGCAAACCATGGTGGATATCCACTAGATGTAATTTTTGATTTTGCTTACTAAGTATAGATGCATGGCGATACCACTTCGGTGAATATCGTTGAATATCTACTTATGTTTAACCCGCCGTAATTGAGTTCGATCGAAATTGGTATCCCAATCAGACTCCATTAGAGACTGGAGTCGAGAATTTCCATTTATTGCTGAAGAGTCCTAATAAGGATGACTTTCTCCTTAGTGGGCAAAATCAAAGGCAGAGTGTTGAAAATATCCTGGGATATAGACGGACATTTTGATATCCATATTAGATCCACTGGATATATTGGATATCCACAAAATATATTCTGTGGATATCTCTGGGATTTCTTGTAATATCTGGAAGATACCCATTAGATATTTTGCTAAATATCCATAGGGATATCTTCTATATTCTGGATATAGACGGACATTTGGATATCCATATTAGATCCACGGGATAATTCTGATATCCTGTGGATATATTGAATATCCACAAAAGATATTCTGTGGATATCTCTGGGATTTGGTATGTTGTCTGGGTTACGCGAAATTGTTATTAGCATCTATAAAATAATTTTTTACGCCAATATTCACTTCACATTCACTTCAGTTAGCTCTGCGACAAAACTGTCAATTCCTGTGAATAAAGTGGGAGAACTGCGAAAAGCCTTTCCAACTTTTCTGTCCCCGCCTACTTATAGGACAAAAATTATAGAGAATTAACAACACAAACAACTCTTATCAAAATAATTTTCTTCTATAATCATAAATAACAGAACGCTTATATTTAAAATTTAGTGTTTTTCTCTTAATCAGTTTATGAGTTAGCGTGGATACAGACACACAAACAGACATCATTGCAAAAATGGTTAAAACTGATTCAGGAGAGCCCAAAACTCACGGCCGAAAAAATCAGGATTCTTACTTTCTTTACTGGATACAGGTAGGTAAAAACAGTGTTTTCTATTTGATTCAAAGAAATTATCAGTCCTTGTATTAAAATAATCTCTTGTAAATTTCGAAATACCCCTCGTACACTAAATCATTTTCAAATCAAATGCAGATTAGTCCCTAGTCCATAGACCACCAGCAATACAAATATCTGTTAATGTGGTTGCAGCACTTTCTAAAATCTATTTATTTTACTTTTCATTTTCAGTTCTGTGTATTTTACTTTATTTACCTTGAATTTTTTATAATTTTTCATCTCGATCCCTCAAATAAATACAGGAGGATGTTAGATTAATTATTATTAATGATGGTTATGGTGATCTGTTTCTGTGATGATTATACACACAAAAATAATGTGTCTAACAGACTAATTTTAAGTTAAACTATGGGTTAAATGAAAATTATGGAAATGTTTTTTCCGAGACCAAGACTTGCAGCAGCTCTATTGGGTATTTTAACAACTTTAATAGTTTTGTATTTATTAAACACAAGCAATAAGGATGTATACATTAACATATTGGAACCAGGAACTTATAGAAACAATGACAAAAATATTAAATTCGAAATTTTTTTTGATATCAAGAATTTCCACTACATTTTGAATGCAAGAAAATGCGAAAACAATACTAAAATCAACGCACTAATTATTGTAACTTCATATTTCGGTAATGTTGAAACAAGAAGCGCCATGAGAAGAGCCTTTTCCGAAGAAGATCTGAAACAAATCAATTTAAAAAGGGTATTTCTACTCGGGGTAGCCCCTTCGGATCAGTACACGAGACAGGTGTCTGTCCAGAACGAGAATAAACGATTTGGAGACATTATACAAGGAAATTTTATTGAGGCATACAGAAATTTGACCTACAAGCATGTTATGGGTTTAAGATGGGCTGCACAGAACTGTTTTAATGTTGATTTTATTATAAAAATGGATGATGATACTGTTGTGAATGTTGAACAACTTCCTAAGTTGTTAAAATCCTTAAAAACTCCAAAAAGTCAAAATTTTATTGCAGGTCAGTAATCTGTTGCAATGTATGGGTCACAAAATACTCATTTTGGTCATTTTCTAGTTTGGCCTCTTTTCTTATGGAAAAACTAAGTACTTGTACTTGTAGGTATCACTATTGTAAACAAAAAATCTTAATTCCATGTCTTCTGGAGTGTGTTTAGAAATCTCGCACAGAGTGTCTTACCACATACATTAGAATATGGTCCAGACGCGCAGTGCGAGATTTCTAAAGGCACTCCTGCAAATTAACCCTAGATTACCAGTGTTATTCAATAGTATTTTGTTGCTAGTAATACGTCAATTTTACATGTTCATTTTAAAGAGAAAGAAACTGCAATAATTATTTAGCCAATTTATTAATAAACTAATGAAACCGTTACAAAACACCAAACTTCCTATATTTTAAAATATTACTGCTTTACCATTTTTTTAATAATTGAGACACCTCTTATTCTACTGCTTACCACATTTCTTTCACTAAAAAACACTAACTCTGTTGGTATTGACAGTATTTCCATGAAAGTTATAAAAACAATTTGTCCACATATTGCTCATGCTCTGGCACATATAATAAACACATCAATTGCCTTGGGTAAATTTCCAGCAGATCTAAAAATGGGGGTAGTAACACCAATCTTCAAAAAAGGAAACCAAAAATTACTTGAAAATTATAGGCCATTTACTGTTCCTACTATATTTTGTAAGGTTTTGAAGAAATGGGTATACAAACACATGTTGTCGTTTTTATTTAAATATAATATATCAGATCACCAACATGGTTTTCTTCCAGAAAGGTCAACTGAGAGTGCCACTATGGGCTTTTTCAATTACATATATGGTCATTTGGATAAAATGAGATTTGTGAGGGCGCTCTTTTTTGACCTCTCCAAAGCTTTTGACTGTATTGATCTGAATATAATTGAAAGTAAATTATTTGCTTTGGGTTTCAGAGGGGATTTTCTAACGTGGCTATCTTCATATCTCAACATGAGGAAAATGTGTGATAACATTGAAGACTACTGATCTACATTTAAAGATATTGATCGTGGTGTCCCTCAGGGGTCAATTCTAGGCCCACTAATTTTCTTGTTATATATAAATGATCTTTCATCACAGATAAAAGCAGATTATACTGTTATGTATGCTGATGATACCACATTGGCAGCTGATGCTGAATCTCCTGCAGAGCTTCTATTAAAACTTAATAATTTAGCATAGTTATTTTTCTCTATTTTTATAATTTTACTTGATTTATATTATTTTTCATTTTTACAATGCTCAAATGTCAAGTTACAAAAATAAGAAAAAAGAAAAAAAAGTTTTCCATGTTATTTAAATGGAAAATGGAAAGTTAGAAACAGGCACCACTAAATGTTAATATTAAGAGCTGAAATTTTTAGAGGCTTCTTTTTTCAACTTCCTGATAGTTTTTAGCCTGTTTTTTAGTTGAAAAAAAAAAAAGTTGCTCAAAAATGACACCGTGATACTCACATTCCCAGCCATATACGTTTTTAAAACCATTCTGTATGAAAAAAATATCATTCATCATTTCCTAAAAATCAAGATAATCATAATTACCCCACTCGAAACAATGAAGCAATTCGTATTCCAAAACGTTCATCAGCTCTATTTGAACTCAGCCCACACTACTCTGGACTTACTCTATTTAATCATCTTCCATCCTCGATTAAAACAACCATCTCCTATAATATTTTTAAAACAAAATTAAAAAACTATTTAATAGATGTGTGTACAGTATAGATGAGTACCTACCTCAATAATGCTATGTTGTTTAGACCTGATTTGTTTTAGCTATAGTTTTATTTATATACCTGACTTATCCTATATCATGTACTATGATCTAAAAGGACAAATAAAGATTTATTATTATTATTATTATTATAAGTAACAAAAATGTCTCTTAGAGCTACAGTACGTCGACATGCTTTTAACACTATTATGTCGACAGACTAAGGAAAGCATAGCTATAACATCGATGAGATAGAAGCTGAGAGTAGGGCAGAGTACTTTTGAAAATATTTTATTTATTTATTTATTTATGTAGCACTTACAGAATGTAAAATTCCAAATAATACAGTATATCTAACCTAACACAAGGAGTTAAAAACAATATAACATAAATTAAAAAACAGTAACAAAGGCCACAGAGAACACGAGGCTAATGACATTAGCAGTCGATGCCGATGACACCAAATTAAAAAAAAAACACACATCGCGGGACTTTACGAGTAAAACTTAGACATTCAGGAGTTGCAAGTCCCTTTTCAGCGACAAAATATTACAATTAAATATATCACAGTCCGAGTAAAATTTGTTATAGTTCTTGCATAAGCAATCAAGACTTTGTCCGTAATTGGTTCTGTGTCTTTTTACATTCAAAAGCCTGTTGGACAGGAACCAATAGTTGAACTCTCTCAAGCAGTGACCTGGACTTGATAGAACCACCTATTAATTTAGCCAGGAGTAGGAGGAAATCCTGTTTTCTTCTGCATTCCAGGCTCTGCATGCCACAAAGCATTAATCTTATTATTTGTGATGGCTATGAAATCAGTGTTTAAAGAGCAGGTATTTTGCGAATTTGCGTTGCTCCCTTTCAATTCTATTGATACGACAGGTGTAAGTAGGTTGCCAAATAACAGAACAGTATTCCAGGACACTTCTCACCAGGCCATGGTAAAGTGTCATGATTGCTTTTGTGTCATTTATGTACCTAGTATGTCTTTTGATGAAGTCAAGCATTCTGAGGGCTTTGCATACTATGGAATCTATATGGTTATTAAAAGATATTGTGGTATCAAAAGTAATGCCCAGATCAATAACTGTCGAGGATCTAACTAGGTTGACGCTGTCAATACTGTAACCGTTAAGAGTAGAATTGTGGGATCTTGTAAAATGCATGGTTTTGCACTTATAAATATTTATTTTTACACCAGGTAGCAAACCTGTTTAGGTCAGACTGTAATGCGGAGTTATTACCAGTGTTTCTACTAAAAAACTTTAAATCACCCGCTAAAAGAAGGCATTGGCTATTAAGAAATCAGGACGTAACATCATTAAAGAATAAGGAAAACAATAGGGGACCTCTATGTGAACCTTGAGGAACACCGGATAGGACTGAAACGTCACATGATACGGAATTATGCACTGTGACATGTTGACACCGATTACTCAAATGTCTCAAATCAAATCACAGGGCTGCCACTTTTGTCTTACATTGTTGCACAAAAAAATTACTATCATATTATTTATTGTCAAATAGTTTATCAATTCATTTCTAATAATTTTCCTTGACCAAACAATATTTTATAATATAGCTATTGACGTTGTTTTACCCATCCAGCACCCACATCCACTCCTTATCATGTAAAGTTGTTTTTTTTTTTGTTAACAATATTGATACCTACAAGTACGAATGTTTAGTTTTTTCATAATCGAAAAGAGGACAAGATATTTACCCTAAATTTATTTATATCATAGGTTACGTCTTAAGAAACATGCTTGCCATAAGGGAACCAGCCAACAAATGGTATGTCACTCAAGATGAGTATAGTCTACCAATGTACCCCACATTTGTATCTGGATGGTTTTACATAACAAACCCAAATACTGCTGAAAAAATTTACAAGTTAAGCCAAATTACAAAATATTTTTGGATAGATGACACTTTTGTCAGTGGTATTTTAGCACAAAAACTGAAAGTAAAACATTATGATATTAGTAAGTATTATGCTGAACATTCCGAATACATGGAATGTTGCTTGGACGACATTAGAAGCAAAAACTTGAACTGTGATGTTTTGGTAGGACCCAATGGTGGGAACAATAATTTATTTTATGAATTTAATAATGCTGTAGGTATTTGCAACTTACATTTGTGTAAAAATAGAACGAAGCCTCTAAAAGAAACATGTGTAGCTAAAAAATTTGTACATTTAGGTAGAGGCAAACCTCAAGTTCATAATTATAAGTTACATTGAGAAATGTATTAACTGACCAAAAAAAAACGTTTCCTTTCTGCTATTTTTAAAAGATAACTACGTACTATAGAGAGCTTTAAATACATGTTTAACATTTGATGTCTAGGATATATTTGTACTAAAATTTTAATTATGTAGCCTGTGAGGCTATAGTATGACCATGCGAACAGCAGAGGAGGAAAGGCAGCCTGCCAGAATCCCTCGAAGGGAGCAGAGGAATGCCTAAAAAATGTAATTATTCAACTAAAATTCCCAATGTAGGTATTTGCTACTTATATTTGTGTAAAAATAGAACTAAACTTCTCACAAATCGTGTGTAGCTAAAAAATAAACTTTAAGTTCATAAAATTAAAAGCTACATTGATTCATGTAAATTTTGACCAAAAAAAAATCTGTTTTCTTCCTGCCATATTTAATTTATAACTATGTATTATAGAGAGCTTTAAATTCATGTTGTAACATGTGATGTTTAATATAATATATATTTTGTATTACAATTTTAATTTTATATATAGAGTAATATATTTTTTTGAATTGTATTATGTATTTTCAATAATAATTTATTTATTTATTTATTTATACATTGTTCAACAGGTTAAACCCAAATACAGAACAGAAGTACATTTGGAAGAAATCATGTTTAACAAAAAGCATATAGATAATTTGGAAGGTTTGCTTGCTAATGTAATTTCCACAACAAAAACTGGCTTATACACGTCACCTTAAGGATGTTGTACCCAAAATTATGTCTTACATCCTCTTAAAATCTTGTACTTAAAAATCACGCACCACACAGCACAAAAAAATTCAGTTAATATTTGATTTACCCTCGTATATGTAGGAGTTTGGTCTAAAAGAATAAAAGAGCTAGTGTAAGTCTAAAATTTTATTGTTATAATAATTATTTTGGTATGCTGATATGCCTGACTATATTATGACTAGGACATTTTGAAGCAATATCTTACTTATGACCATCTTTTTTATAAAAACCTATCATTATTATCACAATCCTTCAAAGATATTTCAACCTCATAACAACCCAGCATCTATAAACTAGCTAACAGTAAATACACAGCGATTTTTTAAAGTTAGGAATGTTAAGTGTCTTAAATTTAATATTTGGTTTACATTTAATAGTAATGTGATCAGTGGTGTATTTTAGCAGCCATAGAAAGTCCCATCAGACTATTTATTGCTGGAAAAGTCTGCAAAATGGCCAATTTTATTGGGACCCTGTAATAAATCTTAAACAATCATTTCTAAGTCGAAAGTTAAAATATTTAAAGTTAAGTTCAAGAAAGTCGAAATCTATAAAGCTTTTCAGAACATTATTTGATCATATTAACAGCATATATTATCGTCGATGATTCTGCAATACAAACTATGTCACGAAAAACTAATTTTACTAGAGACTATAAAATGCGAATAAGTACTACATAAGAGGTCTTTTCCTTTGCATCCACAGTGTAGCACTGAGCTACGTCACTTCTGAATAGATCATTCCATCCATACAATTTGTATAAATGGAACGATATTTTCAGAAGTGGTGTAGCTCAGTGCTACACTTTCGATGCAAAGGAAAAGACCTAAGAATTCATACACAGATCATATTGCCAGATATTATACATTTTTGGAATAGAATACTGACATAATACATATTGTCCAGACCTAATTTAATGGAAATTTTAAAATGTGTGTTTGTTTGCAACTTTACTTTCTTATAAAATAAAATCTTTGGCATAATTTTATATATATACACTGACTTTTTAAGTTTGTATGTTAAAATTGCGTATCTTATCCGTAATGGATATGTCATGGGAAGTCAAATTATTATTAACCCCCCCCTTTTGTTAGTTGTTTTATTTTGTTCAATTTTCATTTTTGTATTAAATAATTTTCACATTTCAATACATTGACTCCATGACTTTCCATTTAGATGTGCCTGATGATGAAGTGATCACTTCGAAACTGGTCGCCAACAAATTAACTTTGTGAGAAATAAAGGACCTTTTTTTACACCTTTGTACTCACATATTGCAATGCTTGACTCACTATTGGTTGCATTCTTTCATACAAGTGAATTTTTGAGGATTTTTTTTTTGACAGCATAGTGTTGCAGTAACAAAGACGATATATAAAAAAATATAATCCATACTAAAAAATTGCAAATTATACAATAGATTAATTTAAAAATCTAAATGATGTCCTTTTTCCATAAATAAAGGTTACAGTTATAACTACAAATATATTTATAAAACTGAGCAAATTTATTTAATTATTCATATTCTTCAATCTCATCTTATCCACTTTGGCCCAGTTCATCTTAGAACCAGGATACAATCCATGTTTGTCCTTTACTATCCAAAACGAATCGATAACCTCACCACTTTTATCATCGGAAATTTGTTCAATATACAAATGGGAGCTGTTGTGAGCCTTCAGGCGGGTGTAGCCATAGTCACTGCTTCTAAATGCTGACCAATCAGGCAATTTGGGAATAAAATGGTCTGTACCCTCTTTGCACCCTGCAGAACCGGTGGTAAATTGGACAGGAGCACTAAAATAAAGGAAAACATGTATAAAATAGTATGTGTATATGTATAAAAAAGTTCTACTTACCCAGGATTAACATAAGGCTGCTCATAACTTCCATTATAAACTGTGTAATTGTAAACAGGCCACAGTCTTTCATAAGAGTGCTCATGGGCCCAAATGGCCAAATCAACTCCATAATTATATAACAAATCTTCCAGTCCAAAAAAGTGCAAAAATGGTAAACCTACTCTTGTCAATGTCTCATGTTGGGTACAATCATCCATGTCTGTATTTGAGCAATACATAGGTCTGTGTCCCATTACAATGATCCATGGTTGTTTTTCTCTATTCTCTGGAAGGTTTGCTTTGGCTAAGTTATCTTCCAACCATTCGTATTGGAATACTAAAGGTTTTATACCATATTCCACGAAATAATAGACTTCTGTTGATATGGAAATTACATGCAAGGGGCCAATATCAATGCTGTACATGTAGGAATCAGGTCCACTGGGCATAGAAAATCTTGCACGGTAATTACTAAAGTTACTACAAATTAAAGATAATTATGAGGGTAGAGGAAGATGAAATTTATTTTAACAAATATTAATATTTCATTTAATTCTTAAGACTGTTTTTAAACAATTTAAAATTGTTTGAATCTGTTATACTTTAAATATTTTATACTACAATTTTTATTCAAAATTTTTATAGGTTTGTTTATAATAATAAAATACAAGAAAAAATTTAAATTTTGAAATTTACACATTCAACCTTGGATTTATAATAAAAATTTCTATACCAAACAAATTTTAATTATTAAACATAAAAAATGTTTAATTTGGATTTGTCAAATAGCTGCAGTATCAGTGGTAAGTGCTTCTTAGATACTTACTACTTTTCTTCATGATTTCCAGGACATGTCATATATGGTAAATATGCAGCAATCGATTCTATTTGTCTCATGAATTGATCTCCAACCTCAGCATTGTTCTAAATTCAAACAAAAAAATACAAAGGTCAATTTAATACTTGTTATCAATACATGTAAATTAGGTGTGTGTTTATTGTTTACAGGAATAGATAAAATATAGGTATGTTACAAGTTTTCTTATTTTAAAAAGAAACAGTATATTAGTTTGTTTTAGAATAATTAAATTAAAGTTAATCTTACACTATCCATGTCATATGCAAAGTCTCCAACATGTAAAATTGCGTCATATAAACCCCTTTGTGTTTCTTCCTGTAATCTTACTAAAGATTGAGCATTTTCATTACCCATATCTCCATAAATAGCCAAATGTGGTTGCCATCCAGGAGAATCAGGTGCTGTCTTAAAATTAAATAGGTTCGACCAGCCCAAATCACTACCACAATGATATTCTAAAAGAAAAATATAAATAAAACATTTATTTATATTATTATCAAACCTGACTTACGATATGTACTGTCTGGAGTTAATTTTTTTAAAACAACTTTATGGATATATTGGGAATGTTTCCCCTTGCCTCCATCAACAAAAAGGGTTGAAGTGCCCTCTGCTTGTAGAACTAATCCCCCTATGCCATATTCCACCAAAGAATTCGGCGTTTCATTAAAAGTTGACCAAGTCACAATGATTTCAAATATATTAGCACCATATGCAATATGCACTTGTTCAGGTTGATAATATAATACTTCAGCAGTTGCTAATTTGAGAAAAAGGGATATTAATATTATCCCAAAGTTATTTTTCATTTTGGCAATTTTTCTTGAATTGAATAACTAAAAGATGTTATAAATTAAAACAGTAACAAATAAAACGTACTTACTTACAAATTTTTCAACAAATAGTGATTAAACGTTATCTACATATCGAGTTATTTAAAATCTTATTAAAATTGTTATTTGTTATTGTTTTTTACACCAGTCAGTGACATTGACATTATTTTGACTTTCTAAAATCTTACTGAATTTTCATAAATAGTAGACCTTTACTCTTTTAAGGAAGAAGAAATAGAGGATTTTTCAGTTTTTTGGATTTCGGAACGAACTTCTAATGCCCATAAATCCAATTTAGCCAACCGTTTTCTTATAAATATGAAATTTACAAAAAAAAAAGAATCAAAAAATAAGTATAATTATATAATTTTTTAATTATTATACAAATGTTAGTATGCAATATGCATAAATTTTAAAGAAAAGAAGTGTAAGTTTAAGTTTTATGGATTATTTTGAGATTGCCTTTACATTTTATCATGTTGGGTGTACTGTAAAAACTTAACCTTAAAATTAAAGGCTTTTAAAAGTCTGTGTTATAGGCTCAGGCTTCGCTCGTTTTTGTTTTTAATTTGTAACGCATTGAAGATTTTATATTTATAATGATTGAGTCTGGTGTTGAACTTGGGTTTTTAGAGAACTGCGAATCATGGCAAGTAGAGAGTCGCCTGTTTCCTAGCAAAGTTGGAGGAAAGCCAGCCTGGTTGAATTTGGAAAAATTACCTTCCCCTGAAAAACTACAATGCAGAAAGTGTCAGAATACAATGATCTTTTTGTGCCAGCTCTATGCTCCCTATGAAGAAGATATTCAAGAATCCTTTGATGATTATTTAAATAATTTTCACAGGACTGTATTTGTGTTTATATGTAGAACTCATGAGTGCTCAGAAAGAAATAATAATGACAATGTAAAAGTGTTTCGAAGCAGCTTACAGAGAAATAATAAATATTATCCCTATGATCCACCTGAAGATAAACCAAAACTGGATTTTTCATTAAATACTTGGGTAACACTTTGTAATGTATGTGGTTGTTTATCAGAAAAACAATGCAGTAAGTGTAAAAATACTCATTACTGCAGTCGAAATCATCAAGTTTTGGATTGGAAAGAAGGCCATAAAAAAGAGTGTGGAAGTGAAAATGTTACAAAAAGGCATTCAAAATTACTATTTCCAGAATGGGAAATTATTACAGAACCAGAGGAAATTAATGAGAGTTATACTAATGAAGAAGAAGAGTTAATGAAGTTTGAAAAAATGAAATTAGAAGGTACAACAGGCAGCATGATTGAGACTTCAGAATCCGATTTGGATATACATGCAACAAGTGACAAAGATAAAGTATTTTCAAAGTTTCAGAAAACAGTTAAACATAATCCTGATCAAGTTATCAGATATAAAAGAGGTGGGGAACCATTATGGATTTCAAAGAAACCTGTTCCAGAAAACATCCCAGAATGTGTACAATGTAAAGGACCAAGACAGTTTGAATTTCAAATTATGCCTCAAATGTTGTCTTATTTGAAAGAAACTGATATAGATTGGGGTGTTTTGGCAGTTTATACTTGTAAAAATAGTTGTACTAATGATAGTTGTTATAATGAAGAGTTTATTTTTAAGCAGGATGTTGAAATAACAGAATAGTTTAGAATTAAATTTAATTAGAATAAGAATAAAAAGAGTACTTAAACTATTGAGTTATTATTAACAGTATTTTTGTGAAATGATAATTGTCCACTAAATTTAAATTTGTGCCCTTGTAGTTAAGAATTCTAGACCCTTCATTTTAAAATCAATTTTTATTATATCTTTACTGTATGTAACAATTACATTTTTATGTGAAATAACATCAAAAAGTGCAGTCTTTGGTGACTAGAATTAAGTGTATAATAATCACAACATTTTATTAAAAAACTGAGATCGACTGGCCATATTCATTTTCAATTTGTTTTTCTTCTCTTATTTTAGTTTGCAGTAAGACGCTTTCCAAAACTCCGATTCTTACATCCATTTCAATTATTTCCGATTTGACTTTTGCAACAGCTTTTTTTATGTTCACCAAAGGAGCTGCAAAAAATTTGATGAATTAAAATCTCACAATTTTAATGTTACATTCTTTAAATTATAGCTATGCTGTGTAGAGAAAAGAAGTATCTTTGCAAAAAGTGACACTAAAAATGTATAAAATTAAGATGGCGCTTCTGTACCAGAGGGACGTCGACAGTCAATAATTTAAATCACACAACGGCACTATTGATGTATATATGAAAAGTGACTGAGCTTATAATCGTAGAGAAATTTTGATAATAGATGTCAATAGTACTTTTCGTCATCTGATTTACATATGGAGGAGCTATGTATATAACTATATATGTTTGGATCTTTCCCTTCTAGTAAACGAGCGTCATCTTAATTTTATACATTTTGAAGGACACTTTTTGAGATAAACAACCGTATGATATTGTCCTCCTTTCATCTACACTCCATAATTATAGCAAAACAACTTACTTCCATCTGTCATAGAGCTTCCCCTTTCCTCCATTTGATGTTTGACAGTCTCCAATTTTTCTGTCAACTTGTAGAGCTCCCTGTTTCTTTCAGCCACACCTGTACTTACATTTTTATAGTTATCTTTCAACTTTGAAAGTTGATCTTGCAAGCTTCTGTACTCTTCTAATATCGTCTCCAGTTCCCTGTTGAAATATTTTTCTCTGTTGCTAACTTTGTCAAGGGTGCTGCTAATGTCCTTATGTAATTTTTCCAATTGTCCCTTTGCGGTCCCAAAATTGATATCTATGGTAGATTGATGCTGTCTCATTTGTTCCAAGTGAGATCTCCAGTCTCTGTTGTCATTTTTTACTGTTACTCTCAATAGAGGCAATACTCTCTCAACCTAAAAATATTACATACAAAAAGATGGTATTGATAAAAAGTTTTAAGGAAAATTACTTCTTGTTTCCATGTTTCTTCATCAACATTTGACTTTAACTCATTTGATAGAATTTCTTTTTTGACAGACTTCAAATCATCAAGACGAAAAATGTTCTCTTCATCGGAGTCATCAGAATAAGCAGCAATCATTTCTTCTTCAATTCTATCAAGATTTATCTCAGATTCATCATCTAAGACTTCAGTTTCTTCTTCTTTTTCCTCAGGTGGTTTTGGTCTATAAAAAATCAAACAAATCATGAAATAACAGCAGATCAAATAAAATTTAGAATTAGAAAATTTCTGAATCATCTTATGAAATACCATTTACCTTTTTAAGATGATGTTGTTTTTTTGAAGTGCACTATTGGCCAAATAATCAAGAATTAAAACAACATGTTCCCCTACACCTTGCTTTATCTTACTTAGAGAAAAATCCAATGTCATGCCCTGTAAAAATATAATTATAATTCAATTTTTAACATTGCAGAAAATATGGAGTTATGTGTTTTGAATGTTTCATCAAACAATGGCCATATTTCTATGCTTCCTTTATACAGTTGTGATGTCAGTGAACGAATGGTTGAAATGACATGTTAATAGTTTTAATGAGTGTGTACTTTGAACAAAATTTATGATCATTTATTATTCCAAATATAAGTCGGGTATTGAAATTACAAATCACAATACATTAAATCCTAACTTTAATTGATTGCTAAGTGTAGAAGCAACTTATTTGCACCTTTACATTTTAGGAAACTGTTTCAAAGTTTGCTGTTTGCTTGTTCAGCATCACTGATTCATAATCGTATGCAACCATTTAATGATGGTGGATGAGCCCACTGTGTAGAAAAATACACAAAAACAAACACTTTTTAGGCCCCATGATGGCTTGTCCCATCAGTCAAAATATAAAAAAATTTGGTCAATAACTGAGTTTTCTTTCAATGGATGAATAAATTAGTGAACACACTGCCATAGAAAAAGTAGATAAAATACATAAATTAAGAAGTAGGTGGATTTTTAAAAATTTTGCAAATTATTTGCAAGATTAGATAAACTTATGTTTGACCATTAACTTGACTTATAATGTTTGTATGTCCAGTTTATTTCACTTTTCTCCATGCCACTCATTAAATAAAAAATTATTTCTCATTGAATTTGAATGTGGATTTTTTAGGTGAGCAGGAGGTTTAGTAAAATGAGGGAGCCTCCCACCTAAATCTGGAGGTTGGCAACCCTACAAAATACAGGCAGAAGCGTTGCGATGCCTGTCGAATCAAAAATTTTAAATACTAGTAAATATATTGTTTTTAAAGCAAAGTAACTATGATTAAGGTAGTTTGGTCAAAGGTATTATTTTAAATGCTAGATCACAAATCATTGCAAAAATCTAATATTTACATTCCCTTTAACTTCATTCAATATTTTATCAATGGTTTCATTTGGGTCATCAAACTCTTGAGGTTGCTCAAAACTTTTCCCGTTTTTTGTAATCAACCACGCAGCTAACAATGAGAATAGATAAAATTGTTCCCCTGGATTTTTAGTTACAACAAAATAGTATCTAAAACAGAATTAATTCTATTTATGAATATATTCAGAATGGTGCCTAAATTGTACATACTTGTGAATTGGTTTCATTTTAAGGCCACTTAAAAATTCAGACTCGTAGTTTAACAATTTCAGTTTATCTAATAAGTCTTCCATTCGTGCATAAGCCAAGAAAGAAGATTCTTGGTCTTTTTCAGACACAATTCTTGTTTCATTTCGCATCATAATCTTGTATAATATTTATGATTTTTAAACATTAAAAACTTTTGTTTTGATTGTAAACAATTTTGACGTTTGACATGTCAATTTTCAAATTTATTATTACGTCATCATATAATATAAGTGCTGCGTTTGAGAATCCACATCGGATGCATCTCAGATGTAAAAAAATCTTTGATCACGTGATTCAGTATACGTAAATGTAATGGGACAGATGTGTCCGATGTGGATAAAAAAACGCTCGAGATGTAAAAAATGCATCCGATGTGGATTCTCAAACGCGGCAATAGTCCGTATTTATAAACATAACTCAGCTGAGTCGAATTTGGTTCGGTTACAACGTCTCTGAAGTTCCAGGTGGTTCCGGTGTTACACTGGAATTTAGAGATGGATATTAACAAATCTGTAACTGTTAAGTGCATTTACGGATTTGTTACTACCCATCTCTAAATTCATGCGATATAACCGAACTTCGATTTTCGTTCAAGGACGGCTCAGCTACAACTCTGAGGAGTCAGCTGAGTTCTGTTTATAAATACGGACACCAGTGACTGTGGAATTGACAAAAGAAGTTCCCTGTTCTGTCAAAAATGTAAAATTTGCTAATGACAGGTCTTTTCCTTTGCATCGACAGTCATTGCGTTCGGTTTGCCACGTTCCTTTAACTCCTTTAACACTTTTAACTCCAAACGACTCTTTTAGCGTTCGGTTTAGTCCGATTAGTGACAGTTTAACACGCTTAAATGTCATTTAAAAGCACCCTAAAATTTGTCCCGCTCCAGCCCCTGACTGACCGAACTCGCCTAGTGTAGCACTGAGCTACGTTACTTCTGAAAATGTCGTTCCATCCATACAATTTGTATAAATGGAACGATATTTTCAGAAGTGGTGTAGCTCAGTGCTACACTTTCGATGCAAAGGAAAAGACCTGATTACTGATACGTTAGTTACTAAATACACTAGAAATAGACAAATAGACAATTTTTAAACTGTAGGACATCAATTTATTTGATTTGTTTATGTGTATTGTTTTTTATTTATAACGTTTACTAGGTATTCTAGCCGAATAAGATAAAACATTGACAGAACAGCCGTTCATTAAATTCATTAATGAACGTAGGAGTGCGTTTAGAAACCTCGCCCGGCGCGTCTGACCTCATACCCCAGTATATATACCAATATTGTTCTTTATACTGGGCTCATACATTAGAATACATAGATAAACTAATTTTATATTAATTTATCTATGTTAGAATAGGTTCTAGATGCGCCGTGCGAGGGTTCTAAACGCACTCTAGCACAAAGCACATAGAGGTTCCACGTGAATGACCAAGGTCAAAACCGGCAACTGACATTTTTTATGCTATTTGCTCCAAACTCTAGATGGGGCTACTGGTGAAATTATGATTTCTTACTCCATTTTTAAGCCTTATGGGAAAGACTCCAAAGATGTGACTGTGACGTGTATTTATTTATGTTCTTGGTTAGTTTCACTTTTCCGTCTGATTTTAGTGATTTTTTGTTGGCTTTGGCTTTTGGTTTCTGTTTATAGTTTCGTCTTAGTTATTTGCAAAATTGTGATATTTCGCTTTTTTATTTCCAACTGTGTTTTGCAATAATTTTGGTGCTACGTTGAAAACTTCGAGAAAAACTTCATTGATTCACCATATATTCACCATGCATCTGCATCATAAAAAGACAAACGGGTACAACAACTAATTGATAATCAATTTATCACTGGACTAGATTCCGAAATCATTTTTCACATAAGAGAGTAATACCACCATCTGTATTTGGAAGGAAAATACCCATTTATCATTGAATGAATAGTTAAAAGGATTCACCTTTTAATACAATACCTATATTACATTTGTCCTCAGTTAAAAAGACATTTATAAAATATATAACTTTAGTGTTAATAAAATGTAATATCCTAGTCTCTACTTCACATTTAAATTATTGATAGGTACCTATTTTAAAGATTTGAGATTATATATATTTGCTCCAAGTAAGTAGTCGTTAAATATGTATTATTATTTGTATTTATTTTTATCTAATAATATTTATTTAAGTTATTAATAAACATATTTTAAGAATGTTCTATTTTATTATTTATTGATATATCTTATATTTATTTAATAAAAATATGCAGAACCAACTCTCCACATTAGACCCCTTATAACAAATTAATTCTTCAAATTTGGTATAATCGACCTAAATTATTTTGTAAAATAAAAGTTTAGAACTTACTAGTTCCATACTTTATTTTATAAAATAATTTATGTGGAAATCATTTAAAATTTAATTTAAAACTACTACCTACTCCTAAAAATTACAATTTGAATTTACCGCCATCTGTCAATTGTCATTTTAGTTCCAGCTCCAAACACAAGGTGGCGCTAATTTGGTTTAAAAGTTTAACATTGGCGTGGGGTCTCTAGAAGATACATGCTTTGTGCACTCTAGTGTTTGACACTTTTGACAGATTTATTTAGCGCTACCTATGAGAAAAAATTGGAATTATACAAAAATCTGTTTGTCGATAGATAGCAGCACAAGTAGTATATCTTTAATTTTAATCAAAACAAGAAAAACATTGGTGGGGTTGTGTTATTGCGAATTGCAAGTGACATTAGAATGGTCCATTACACCTTATTTATGTTTGTGTCTTGTGTCCATTTAAAATATGCAAAAATGTGAATTAAAACTTTAGTATAGTATGATTCGTTGTGCCAAAACAGTCGTAATAGTTTTATTTGTTTTTGTTTGTTGTACGTACGTCGTGTCTTTATTTTTCTCGTTTAATAGTAATTTTTTATCTTCCGATTCGGTAGAAGTGGAAAGCTGGCTAAAACAAAATAATTTGGAGAAATATATAGAATTATTTAGACAAAAAGGTAAGTAAAAGACCTTAGATAGTTCTCTAAACTCTAATCAATAAGATCATCTTTCATGAAACCATTGTTATTCTTTGTGCAACCCATTATGTCGAAAACAAAGATTATTTTCTTTACTAGACATAAAAATTTTACTTTTTTTTGTTTGTTTTAGTACTTGATTTTTTTTGCACTTTACTACATAAACTAGAGCTATAGTTGTACACACTAACTTTTTAGAATTGAAAAGGACTACTAAATTTTAAGGGATGTAATATCATTTTTTGAATGGTCCATCCACTGATCTGATACAGATAAGTGGACCCATAGACTTTCAATTGCAAAGCAATCCCTAGCTTTCAAATTAAATATATTTATTAATGTTTAGTAAATCGAAAATGTTTTAAAAATATTAAATACATTTTTGGTGTTAAATTAAGATTTTTTTATTTTTTCCCATAATTGTGCCAAAAAGCAATTCATTCCCTATATGACCACATACCTCGCCACATACCTACCACATTTTATTTTGATCTTTTTAAAATTGTCCCACTTCCTCCTAAAAGTTTTCCCGTTATTATCATATCATTTAAAATTAAGTAATAATAAGTAAGTAATTAGGTATGTCTTTGTATTAGGTATTAAAACTTTGTATATACATTTCTGAATGTTCTGTTCTTTACTTTCATGTCTATTGTAAATATTTATGATAGGTATATTTACATAATCTGCTCTACCTATAATACATCCTCATAAAAGGGTCCAGTGAGGATGAATCAGAAAAAACTGGTGGTCGTTAAATAGCTCTTTGTCAGCTATCCACATCAATCTAGAAATAGATATCTTACTGAAATAAGTACCTACCTATTTTCTGACTTTTTTTGGTACAGGTCATTTTAAATTAGACAATTGAATTCGTCATTTGGCATTTTAATTTAATTAGATAAACTTTTCAATTAGCAAATAAGCACATTTTATTTGAATTATCTATACCTAAAAATTAAGGATTCAGTCGGATTATTCAGTTCCTTTGTAGTTATAATATGAATGACACATTATTAGTGAATTTCTAAATAGGTATATACAGTGTACATAATATATTAACTGTTTTTTATGACGTCAAATTTTCTAAAAATTCGATAGACATTTTTAGTACCCCTTAGTTCAACGTCTAGGGTAGTTTCCCTGCCTAGCAAGGAGCCCCAATATCTTGTCAGAAAATACTGCGATTTTATTATATAAGCTGTTACATTTTGAAATTAGAAGAATAACTTCTTTATTCTTTAATTTTACCAAAAATAACGTAAGTTATATTTTAAAGTTACACATTTATCTATATGTTTTGCTAAAAAAATGATTTTATTTCTTAATTCCCAGGTATACACATAGTTCTTTAAAAGTCTTTAAAAATTGTAATTTTTTGGAGTGTTTGCTTATTTTATCCAGTGAATTAGAAAACAATAGGCTTAGTCATATTTTTTGTTTTTATATGAAAAAAAAGTAGTTTCACACAATAGCTATTTGTGTATTAAGAGCGAAAAGTGACATTTTGCCGCTTGAGACAGAAATATAACCGCGGGACGCCTAGCGACAATGAACTTTTCGCTCAAAATGCACACGATCACGTTATTTTAAGAAATACGTACTACGTACAAATAACTTAAAAGTCATTAATTAAAAAAAATATTATATTATATAGAGAAAGTCAAAGTTGAAAAGTCTTTTGGTAGGTAGAGAGGGGGTAAACGTCAAACCACGTCAAGCGGCTCCGAGAATTTCACAGTAATGTTTACCTGTCAGTGTCGTTTCATAGAATAAGTAATTTTAAATTGTTATCGGCGGAACCGGACAATCGTATGTATTTATGGATTATAAATAATTATTAAACATGTATTATAATATTCAAATTATAATTTTACAAAATTTCAACAGCTATTCACAATTTATTAAACTATTTACTCGAAATTGTTATTAACATCTATAAAATAATTTTGTACGCCAACGTATCGCGACCACTTCGGGGAGATCCGCTGCCAACCTGTCAATTTATGTGTATAAAGTGGGAGAACTGGCAAAAGCATTTCCAACTTTTACTTCTGTTCTAGCTAATTTAAATTAAGCGAGCAACAAAGCTGTCAACTTTGTCGCTCGGCTGCCGCATTTGAAAGAAAAAGACAGCTGCTAATTTGAGTGGGGATGGTTTGTGAGAGTATATTTATCGTAGCGAGCATGCGTTTTATGAATGGATACTTTCCTGATAAACGCTATACAACTATAATAGTTATACTCTCCTATAATCGCTCATTATAATTTGACAACTACGTGAATGACACCGTGACTTTTGTAAACAAAATTGGTCTTTTAAACTACACAAATAATTAAAAGTTTATTATAAATGTGAAGTTTATTAAAATAACTTTAAATAAAACAATAACACAAAAGAACGGAATAAACACTAGAAATATTGTCTTATTATAAACAGACTGCATTCATGAACGACGTTCGATGATCTGTCCATCCAAATATTTGTCACAGTGATTGAACGACCATTTTCTGTCGACCGCCGGGTTTATGATGTTTTGCTTTCCCAGAAATCGGCTCGGGTTAAGGGACCATCCAAACAATAGATTACAGTCTACTAGTTTTTCGTCGTTGTTTGAAACAATTCCTTGTCAGTTACTTCTGAAAACTTTGCTGTATACGACACTGACATGCCGGAAGGGCCAGAAGAATTTGACGTTGATTCTGATTATGAAGACTAGAGAGAAGGAGGCGAATCGGCATACTCGAAATACGGTTTCAAAAAACGAACGCTAATTAAGCTTTTATAATTAACCTCAGGGGCGCTGGTGCTCTAGGGATGTTAAAAATACGTGGTTTCTTATGACAATTTTATATAATTTTGTAAAAATAATAAAAATAAATTTGTTTATTGCAAAATAAAGCACAGAAAATATGGTTGTATTTATTTCTAAATAAGTGTTGCATGTTCTAAGTGATAAATTATTTAATTTTATGTACCTATATAAAATGCAAATTAACTATGACCAATTTTGTTTAGTCCATTCAAACAATAAGTCAACTACAAAGTAATACCGATAATGGAAAAAAAAGTTCGGCTTTCGTTTGAAGATGCTCCAAAAAAAATCACTAAATATTATGTATGAATCAAAATGTCTTTGGTATGAATACATCTAAAAAGGAGTTTATACCAGGAGTATGTCATTATTATGTCCTTGGACGATAGTAATACACTTATTATAATACTAAAAATTAATAACTTAACTCTGTATGGGACTATAGTAGTCCAGTTTATTATTTCTCTCTGTGTCGCTGAAATGAACCGATAACCTGTGTAGACAGACTGGATTATCGCGTCGTGCGGCATTGTAGTCAAAGTGTCCGCAAATTAAGGAGATGCCAGTGTCGTCGCATCGTTGTGTCAGTTTATTATTTAAAGGAACAGCCTGAACTAAAGATAAACGACCAAATGACTGACGTAACTGAACCAAGACGTTAATGTTAAGTATAAAGTGCAAATACGAAGTGGTAGTAAAAACAAGTATTAAAAATTTAAAAAAACCGACTTAAAAAACGAGCAGATGCCGTCACCACATCTTAACCAATTTTACATGGGACCACCCTTGAGGTACCCCCTTACTAACAAAAAAAGAATCATAGAAATCGGACACAATGGTAAAGCATTATCGCTAAACATACATAAAAAATGAAGAGTTTGAGGATTTTCCTATGGATCCAATTATTATATTTTAACCAAATTTATATGAGACCATCCCTAAAGTACTCCCTTTCTAACAAAAAAAGAATTATTGAAATCGGACAAGATGGTAAAGCATTAGCGCTAAACATACTCGTACATAAAAAAAAAAAAATATCACGACGAATTGATAACCTCCTCCTTTTTTGAAGTCGGTTAATTAATGTTCTTCTACTTAGGACCAAGATCGATATTTTCTGGAAATAATCGGTCTGCTGCATCATCGATGCTATTTCGTAAACGTGTTGTTGGAAATCTAATATTATTTTGATGCCTTGCGTGTCCAAGAAACCATAACACTGATGCAACATGTGCGCAAGTACTTAAGTTCTCGAACCGCATGGACATGTACAATAATAGTAGAAAATTGAATCAATATTTTTATTTCCTCCTCGTATTCTAACCAAAGCATATATTTAGTTGCGTTTCTGAACCTAGAATATATTCTAAAACGTAAAAAATTATTCTCTTCTCTAAATTCGTCTATTTCTAAAACATTATTTTCCTCTTACAGTTTATCTTAAATATATGATGGACTTAAATAAATATGGTAAGAACCTACCAAGTCTTTTAGAAAATTGATCTCTACCTGAGGAAATTCAGGAATATGCATGTGGTTCAGTCTTCGCCACCGACCATTTCTGCTACTCAGATTTTGGGCTTCAACGTATGCTTGTGCTTATATAATATTAACGTCCTCTAGTTTGTTTAAAATTTCAACTGCTATGTCCATTATAACTGGTACATTTATAAGAGGATAAAAAAACGCACCTGCAACCACTTAAATTAACAGCATGATTCGTGGATATGCGGCTTTTAAAAAATTTTAAAATGTGAATTTAGGCTTCTACAACCCAACGAGTTTTAGTTATTAGTCTTGCTCTATTAGCTTCACTTGTTGATAATTGCCGTTGGTTTTGATGAAGCAAAGGTGGCATATATAAGTAGTTAACCCAAGTTATTCTAATCTAGGAATCATATCTGTAGCCTCTATCTACTATTACTATATCTCCTTCTGTAATGCAGTTTCTAAATTAATTATTATCATTAGCCAATTGTTGTCGTAAGATTGCTGCATTATTATTAGATGCATAAGAAAAATAGAGAACTTTGATTGTTAAAATATGTCCGTCAGGAGCTACTGTAATTTCTGGCTTAACAATGTTTCTTCTTAAAATAGCAATAGGACTGACGTAATATTCTAAAATTACAACTTTTTTCAATTGAGTTATATGTACAATCG